TCTAACTATATTTATTTATGCATTATAGATATGTGAAAATCATAAAGTTCTAAGATCTTGAGATTCATGTTTATTTGTGAATAATGGTTTGCATGAATAATTATAGTTTATAAGCATTACTCATAAAAATATAGAAGGTGGAAAAGTGAGAGAGAGAAACTTACATTGTTCCAGCAATTCTTGTGTTGATGTAAGTGTTCTCTTCTTCGTCAAGTTTGGCCAAGCCAAAGTCAGATATCTTAGCATTTAGATCCTTATCAAGCAGCACATTGAGCTCACAGTCTTGCGGTCTGATGAGGTGATTCTCGAGAAGATATGTGGTTGCGGGCCTCCTTATTTAAGGAGGGTAGATTTCGAGGACGAAATCTTTTAAGGAGGGTAGATTGTAATATTTATGATATATATTTATAAAATAAGAAATAAAAAAAAAGGTTAGATTTTTTTTTTGGTGGTGGGACCCACCACCACTTATCTTCATTTTGTGGCCAAAAGGCCATTAGATGGCCTCACTTCTCTCTTTCCCGTAAAGCTCTCTCTCTCTCTCTTCCTCTCATTCTCTTTTGTCTTTTTCTTTATACTTCAATTTCAAATCTTAATTACTTTATCATCTTTTGGAATTTGTGGGAGCCGTTTGCGGCAAAACGAAGAGCACATTGAGATCTACGATTTGATTGGAGCAATTCTTCTTTTGGTACACTATGGAATTTCGAAATCTAGGGCACAAAATTGGGGGTTTTTGCAATTCTTGAGGTAGGGGTTTCTAATTCACATTTTCTTTGATTTTAGTGAATTATTTTTCATTAATTGTTGTAAAGCATACCTAAATTTTGTGAATTCTTGCAAAGGTGATTTAATTTTTATACATGTGATATGTGGTTATGTGTTAATTATTTTTTGAGGAAAAAGCATGCTTAAATGATGTATATGAGAAATGTGATCATGTGTTAGTTGATGTTTTGTGTATAAGCATACCTATGTGGAATAAAATTTGTGCCTTGTATGTTTACTATGTCAAATTAATGTTGAATGAAAGCATGACTTACGTATTTTGAAATTTATTATGGAAAAGCATGGGTGAAATTCATTAGTTGAATTATATTTAGAAGCATGAAGCATTCATACATCTATTAGGAAAAAAAAAGAGAAAGGGAAAAGTGTTTTTTTGAAGCAAATGAAATCGTTTTGAGAAAATTGTTTTTGGAAAGTATTTGTGAAAACCGGACGCCTAGGAGGCGCCTAGTGGTCCGCGGTGTTAGTGTAATCTAGAAGGGAGTGTGGTTGAGTTAACTAGGCCGGATGCGACGCCTTGGAGGTGCCTTGTGGTCGTGGATAGCTAGCCAACCCTCCCTTCGTGACGTTTCAGAGGTGCCTTGGGTCAGATTGCACTAACGGTTTGGAAGTTGAAATGGTAATGTTTCGGAAATGGGGAGCGACATGAGCATGGCATTGCACTTCATCGGTATATATGGTATATTTGTGACTTGGATGACATCTGTGGTTTTATTCGATGTTGTGGTTATGGATTATATCCCCAGTATAGTATGATTCTGTTCTCTTGATTTCTATTCTATATGTGGATTCACAGGATCATAAGAGGTGTGTCTTAGGTACCACCTACTGAGCAATTTGCTCACCCCTTATATTTAACATTTTTCAGGACATGGAAAGGAAGTGGCGAACAACGCTCCTCCACAGGGTTCGATGGGTTAGTGGACCATTTTGACATACTTTGTAACTATGATCTCATTTAATTATTATTTAATTATTTATTTATTATTATTATTATTTTATAAACCCTGGGATTACACGTATATTATGTATTGACATAAGAAATGATAGTAGTGCCCTTAGTTGATTTCGGGTTCAGGTAAGGACCCGGTTAGCGATTCGGACTCTCGGGTTTGGGTCATTACAGTTCCATTTACAAACTATGATTATTTATCTATATCTTCTTCCAACAACACTTTATTTGTGTTTTAACACCAAGTTTTTTCCATTATACTCAAAGATTAGATGCAAATAAGAATAGAGTAATTATTTCAAAACAATAGTTAAATATGAAGAGCTCGTGACTCTTGTCATGAGAGAGTTCTCTTGATAGCATTACTCATTAAAATATAGAAGGTGGAAAAGTAAGAGAGAAAAACTTACATTGTTCCAGCAATTCTCGTGCTGATGTAGGTGTTCTCTTCTTCATAAAGCTTGGCCAAGCCAAAGTCAGATATCTTAGCATTTAGATCCTAATTAAGCAGCACATTGGTAGCCTTAATGTCTCTATAAACAATTTTCAACCTTGGTTCCTCATGAAGATAAGCTAAGCCCCTTGCTATTCCTAAACATATCTTCTTTCTTGTTGGCCAATCCAGGTTTATCTGGTGTTCCACAAGACCTAGAAATAAGAAAGAGAGCATGTTATATCATAATAGTCACTCTTATGACGTATATACAATGGTGTAAAAAATGATAGGGAATGTCACGACCTGAAAATTTCCAATAAAATCCTTAATTTATACAAATCCAAAAATATCAAAATAAACCCAAGAATTAAAAAAAAAAAATACCTTCTTTATACAAAGTCAATTTCCTCAAATATACACAAATTCTCTAAATAATAAAAATAAAACTCGCAACGCCAACTTTTCAGCATAAGCCCGAATCTAGCAATCCCCGTTCATCTTCGGTACTTGAAACTGGAGGGTGGTGAGACAAAAAGTCCCAGTAGGAAAAACTATAACAAGAATTTCATGGAGGTTTAATAAAACAGCTTCACAAAATATACATAGTCATGTGAGTATATAAGCAAAATACATATGCATTTAATTAAAACATTTAATCAAAACCATTGAAGTAAAACCACTCCAAGCCATTCAAGGTATAGAGAACCATACCCTGAAAAAGATTAATTCCCCATTAGATCATCAAAGCCTTAAGCTCCAAGACCTCCTCTACAGACTCTCAGCTCACTCTATGTCCCTCCTTAATCTCGGCCCCTCTCTGTGCTGCTCTATTTTTCTCTCTCTCAAACTTCTCTAATTTTTCTTATGCTTCTCTACCAAACTGCAAAACACATACTGATATTTAAAGACAAATCCACCGACTCAACCCACCAACTCCATACATACATCAATACTGCTTACCACACCCTCAAAAGATATCAGACAATATCATATTCCATCATTATTATATCTTTATTACCTGACATAAACACAAAACAAAAATTACAATCTTATTCCACGTCAAGCCAACCAAGAAAATCAACTTGTGGGACCCACGAATTACCTTATCTCTTAGTTACCTTAATTATTACATTCTTTTCATTTATATACATCACCCAATAGCCCATTACCAGCCCATGTACAAAGTCAAGCAACATGTAATTTTGACCACAAAAAATCCTAGTGGGACCCGCAAAAAGCTATCATCAAAATAATCTTTCCTTTCTCATTTTTCTCTTCCGCCAGGTGTTCCCCTCTTCCATCAGATGCCAAAATACTATATATATATATATATATATATATATATATATATATATATAATATGCAACAACCAAATAAACACATCTTCAGTGCAAATGATACACAACAACCCACATGAAACTTACCAAATAAAAGAAACAATCTTTCACTCAAAATAAATCTGATCCAATGCAAAATAATTGATAGAACCAAAATAAATAATATCTCTCAATTTAATAAAAATAAAATTGAACTCTAAAAATTCGAGTTGTCACAATCTCCAACACTTAAAAAGAATTTCGTCCCCGAAATTCAGATCCAACAATCTACGTAGGCCCGAAAACACTAATAACCACAAAACCAATCCACAAATCCATATCCCAGGTGATGTGAGATACACTGATATGTAGGACGTTGTGGTAGCTGCCAGTGCTAGTCACCCGCCCACACACTTCGTAACCGTTGTGGTAGCTAGTCGATGCGTCACCCGCCCACTAAAAAAACAAACAATAACAAATCTGGGCTACCTGCCCAACCACACTAACCAACCATCACAGTAGCTGCCATCCGTCCATACACACCCGGCTACAAGTGGTAGCTCACCAGTGCTACACACTCGTCCATTCACACCCGTCTACATCATCACTATACTCGCACTTCCGGCTGGGTACAGCTCTGATACCATTTTGTCACGACCCCAAAATTCTCAATAAAATCCTTAATTTATACAAATCGAAATACATCAAAATACACCCAGGGAAAAATATATATATATATCCTCTTTTATACAAAGTCAATTTCCTCAAATATGCTCCAAATAATAAAAATAAAACTCGCAAAGCCAACTTTTCAGCTTAAACCCGAATCTAGCAATCCCCGTTCATCTTCGATACCTGAAACTGGAGGGTGGTGAGACAAAAAGTCCCGGTAGGAAAAACCATAACAAGAATTTCATGGAGATTTAATAAAACAGCTTCACAAAATATACATAGTCATGTGAGTATATAAAGAAAATACATATGCATTTAATTAAAACATTTAATCAAAACCATTGAAGTAAAACCACTCCAAGCCATTCAAGGTATAAAGAACCCTACCTTGAAAAAGATTAATTCCCCACTAGATCATCAAAGCCTTAAGCTCCAAGATCTCCTCTGCAGACTCTCAGCTAACTCTATGTCCCTCCTTAATCTCGGCCCCTCACTGTGCTGCTCTATTTTTCTCTCTCTCAAACTTCTTTAATTTTTTTGTATGCTTCTTTACTAAACTACAAAACGCATACTGATATTTAAAGGGAAATCCACCGACTCAACCCACCAACTCCATACATACGTCAATACTGCTCACCACACCCTCAAAAGATACGAGACAATATCACATTCCATCATTATTATATCTTCATTATCTAACATATACATAAAACAAAAATTACAATCTTATTCCACGTTAAGCCAACCAAGAAAATCAACTTGTGGGACCCACGAATTACCTTATCTCTTACTTAGCTTAATCATTACATTCTTTTCATTTATATACATTACCCAACAGCCCATTACCAGCCCACGTACAAAGCCAAGCCACATGCAATTTTGACCACAAAAAATCCTGGTGGGACCTGCAAAAAGCTATCATCAAAATAATCTTTCCTTTCTCATTTTTCTCTTCCGGGTGTTCCCCTCTTCCATCAGATGCCAAAATACTATATATATATATATAATATGCAACAACCAAATAAACTCATCCTCAATGCAAATGATACACAACAACCCACGTGAAACTTACCAAATAAAAGAAACAATCTTTCACTCAAAATAAATCTGATCCAATGCAAAATAATTGATAGAACCAAAATAAATAATCTCTCTTAATTTAATAAAAATAAAATCGAACTCTAAAAATTCGAATTGTCACAGGAAAGTAACTACCAAAAAGTGCACGCCAAGACAATTGTTCTCCAAGTATCCATATATTACCAACAACTGGTTTCCTTCAATGCAACAGCCATAAAGCCTGACAAGGTTTGGGTGTTGTAGGGAAGATATCATGCCTATCTCATTGACAAACTCGCGATCTCCTTGCTTAGATTTGGAGGAAAGCTGCTTAACAGCGATTACTACACCATCTGACAAGACACCCTAAAATCAAGCAAAAAGAATTTCTAATAATTAAATATAAAAAACATGATATGTGGAAAAAATTTCTTTTCCTTGTTGCCACCCTGCCTCTAGGCATGGAAGCTTAAAACGACACATGACCTTAATTAATGTTGCAAGATAGTTATGAAAATTTAATAACTTGCGTTAGCAATAACCTTGTGAACTGGTCCAAATCCTCCTTCACCAAGCTTGTTTGCAGGGTCAAAGTTACTGGTAGCAGCTTTATCTGTTTTAGACTGAAAAATTTTGTTTGCAGATCTAGCTCTCGGACTTCTGTTTGACCCGTTTGTTTGCCTTTTTTTTTTTTTTTTTTTTTTTTTCCCTCTTTGGGCTTTGCTTGTTTTCTTTGGGTTTTTGCCTTTGTATAGTTCCCTTTCTGTTAATAAATTCATTTAGCAACAAAAAAAATAAAAGGCTCCAATCACAAGTTGCAAAACTGCATAAACCAGATATTTTAGAGCCACGAATTCTTGTCTTATACGATCATCAGCAGATACCTTTTCATGAAGTAAAATACACATACATATGGTTATTTTCATCATCACAATTTACGTAGTTACAATTACATGTGCAAATACAGATTGGGCTAATGTTTACCATGTATAAAGGTTCTTATTCATTGCAACATCTATCTCATCCTTAAACCAAAAAATTATCTTTATGCATAGTTTGACTCATTTTACAAGCAATACCCTAAAGTCAGTATTAACTCCTACAAGATCTGCACAAGCATTAGAGAGATTCTTTAGTAGTTAAAACATTTCAATCCATATTAAATTTCCGTCAAAACGCCCAAAGGGAGGACTGGTGGTGTTTCAGCAATTCTATAAAGCTAATCTTCAATGCGAATACTTATGTTGTACAAGATAAAACTTTTACCAGGACATTTTACAAATAAAGTTCAAACATCAAGCACCTTTTCCATGTAGTAACCCAACTTGCATTAGCAATCAAATAGTGAGAAACAACATCACATGTAGCGTTTCTTGTGTTTTTAGATCTCACCTTTATCTTGGTCTTTCCCTACTATAACCTTTCACTCGAAGTACTAACAAAATCAACACAAGAGGACCACACATGAAGCAGCCACGATACCAACAATAGCTCCAACAGAAAGCCCGGTATCAATTTCGAAGTCTACAAGAAAAAGAAAAACACTCTCGTAACAAGCTAGTAGAAAAAAAGAGGCACACCCCGAATGAAAGATACACTTACTTGGTGTCACTGAAATTGCAGATATAAGAGGTCCATATGCACCTCTGCCAGGACTTGCATTAGTCCCTTTCCCAGACCAGTATAAGTGGATCTCCAGAGTGCTGCCACTAACAATAGCATCATGTACCTTAGTGATGCCTTTGCCAGGACCTTTAGCTTCCTCCATAATGTTAAAATCCTTCCAAATTAGATTCCCCTGCACAAGAAGTGAAATTAACACAAGCTAGACAAAAGTTAAATAACTTCTATTTTAGAGACCAAAAAAACAAAAAAGGGTTAGCAAAGAAAAGATAAGAGTCCTGAAAGCAATTGATGTTTATATGAAAAAATCAAAAAATTAACAAAGTCATGAATTGCACAAGAGCAACGCTGTTTGTGCAGATCAGCACGAGAAGCTTTTCAACTAACATTAATAAAACTGGCTCTTACTCACTTGGATTGATACATCAAAAATCCGTTTCCCAAGGCTACTATAAGTCTGGTCATCCGAAAACATTATTTCAGCAAAGTGCAGACGAACTTTATAACTGCCTTTACGCAAGCAAAGGCCATAGTACTTAAGTGAAGTAGGGGCAAGGCGTGCTGTTCTGTATATCTCATCAAGCTCGTAAGAGAATGAATTATTTGCTTTGTAACTGGCGTAGATAATATTGTCCATGAAAACCCCTGTGCTGCTACAAGCCCATTTTCCTTCAGAAACATAAAATTGTGATGGACCGAGTCTCTCTTGAGTCTGTTTCATATTCCTTCCCCTCAAATTTTGTTGGATTGCTTCCTCCACAATTGATATACAGGGAATAGTCTGTATATGCAATCAAAATTGTAACATAAGATATTTTCGTTCTTTCTTTTTGGCAAGTGTAATATAATATATCTATAGGTAGATAAGAGTTAATTATTATCACAGATCATAGTAACAGACCTGGCAGGTCTTAAACTTACGCCGGGCAACTTCACATAATTTTGAATAAAACGCATCAATTTCCAGAGACAAACGCATCATTTAAGAATTCAAAAAATCCACCATCCAGTTGATGGTTTAGGTCGTGTCCTAGACCTATGATATAGCAGGACACTGTGACAAAAACATAATATATTTCAGTCTGACTACACTCTAAACAAACCGCGAAAAAACTAATAATGGAAGCATGAAGGACACTAGCTCAAAACCTGACAATATTCCATTGATTTATGTTTGTGTTTATCATACTGCTTGGCTTAGAAAACAGATCTCTTTTATGTAACAGAGTAATTAAAGTTTCAGACCGGATTAACCAAAACCATTGGAACTTCTCATTTCCGACACAGATCAATTCCTGGGATTGGAATGTAAGATTGATCTAAATACTCCTCTGCTTTTGATTCAAATTAAGCATAGTGCTCAACCGTTAAATGTGGTGGATCCCAACCTCAGACCCAACTTATCCCAATGGACGAGATACATAAAAGGTTGAAAAGTGATAAAAAAAATATTAGATTTATGCAGCCAAAAGAGTATTGGTAGTAGTCTATACAAGATAAAGTCGATATCATACCCCATGTATTTAAATTAGTATCGGTTTCTTAATCCTTATTTGCATGCCTTGCATATATGTATGTATATTACAGGGGAAAAGTAAAGGACAGTAAAACACGGCCGTACATGTTTGTGACGTGGCAGACTGTATTGTTTTTGTAGCTGCAATTGCAAGCAACATTGCTAAAATTTTGATCATCAACAGTCCCAGTCTTAGCATTACCCCCACTGCAAAATGCTTGGTTAATGTTCCAGTAATTTATCTGCAGTTTCCTTTGTATCGTTTCAAGAGCCGTAACTGTTGCACACAAGTAAGTGAAATCTGGTTAGTATCAATATTAGCAAAAAAAATTATTAATAATTCCAAAATTTTAATAAAATATTTGTCACTTACAATTTCTTTAAGAACATTAATTCTATCTTGGAGAACTGTTAACTGATGATGTAATCATTTTACTTTTTTTATTTTTATTTTTTATTTTTGATTGCAAACAACTGTTATGTCATATTTTCTCAACTGAATTCAGGCTATTAGTATTAAATGAGAATGCCAGAAGTAAATTATTGATGCTATATTTGTACAAGAACCATGCTATTCCCACCAATGGAAGTTTTAACAGAAACCATGAGCTGATTGTGATCCATTGGTGTGGGAATCATTTTTCTTTGTCCAAAATAATAAAGCTCAATCCAAGGTGTTTTTTTCTTTTTTCCTTTTATCAAGATGTTCGTGGTTAATGTTCATGGTACTTATATGTAACCAAAATTGTGCAGCAAAGAAATTATTATATGGTCCCGAAATTTTCAAAAAACAAAATTATAATCATAAGAACCTAATTACTCGACGAAAGAGAGACGATTACTTTAGTGTGAGAACTTTTTAAATTTTAATAAAATATATAGACAGTAATACAAATAATAAAAAAAATCGCCCCCAGTAAGTTTCAGATGGGAGAGTATGCCACATTCAAAACAAAGAAAGTAATAAGGTGACCTATATTTGACCAAGTCCATTTACAAAACATAAGAGACAAAACAGATGACCCTACCACCTTAAAAAAACAATTGCCATTACATTACACACATATTTAATGCAATACAGTTGTTCTCATCTTCATGGAGGGGTAGATATGCAAGATAAAAATTCCTTCTTACATTTTCTGCGGTTCTCTTTGATTTTTAGCCCTATCACTTCTGAATTTCACTGCCAGATGGTGAAATTTCACTTACAAATAAATAGTAGCAAAATTTAAACATGTGAAATTGCATCATTATAGTAATAAAATTAATCATTGATCGTGATAAAATTTACTAGAAAACTGCGACTGAATTTTTTATTTTTATTTTTATCCAGATACATAACAGCCAAAGTGAAACAGTCACAACACATGTATTGCTTGACCAGCACTAACGGCTACATTGCCGTTATTTTTGGCTTTTTGCTTTGCTTGATTTTGGGTTTGGGCCTTAGTTTGTGTTTTTTTTTAAGGCTTCTATGCTGTCCAAGTCTTTTTGGATTGGTTTGGGCCAAAGACCTTTCATTGTTCTTCTTCTTTTTATATATATATATACTAGTAATAGGCGCGTGCGATGCACGTGGTGAAAGCTTTATAATTTATAGAATTTTTGTTTTCAATATATATATATATTTTAATTGTTGATTTGAAGCTTGTAACAATAAACCTTACAAAAAATTGTAACTCTTTTTCTATTAATTAATAAATATATTTTTTATACTAATAAATAAATACTGAAATATTTTGAAGTTGAAAAAATAGATAATTTGGGGTAGAGTATTATACAAATTATTTTATTTTCTATAAAAATATTCAAAATAAATAGAGAAATACATGTTATATGTGATAGAGTTCTCTTTTTATATTGCGATACACGTGATGAATGTTTTGTAACTTATAGAATTTTTGTTTTCATAAATATGTTTTTTTATTGTTGAATTGAGGCCTGCAACAATAAACCTTACAAAAAATTGTAAATTTTTGTAACTCTTTTTATATTAATTAATAAATATATTTTTATATTAATAAATAAATACTGAAATATTTTGAAATTGGTGGTAGAGTTTAAGTTTTGTAAAGTAATAATTTTTTTTAGGTTTTTTGATTAATACTGAAATATTTATATTTTATATTATTTAATAAAAAATATATATTTTAATACTAAAATTGGTACCTTTTATTAAAAAAAAAAACTCATAATAAAAGGTAATTTGTGGTAGAGTTTTAGAAAAATTATTTTATTTTTTATATCGATTAAAAAATATTTTTTATATTAATAATTATTGTCTAATTAGATTTTCTTTTATTAAAAAAACTCATAATAAATAAATAAATAGGTAATTTGTGTTAGAGTTTAATAGAAACTCTTTTAACATCAATTAATAAATAATTTTTATATTAATAATTCTTGTCTAATTAGATTTCTTTTTATTAAAAAAACTTATAATAAATATATAAATAGATAATTTTTGTTAGAGTATTAAAAAAATCTTTTAAAACCTCTTTTTATATCAATCAATAAATAATTTTTTATACTAATAATATTTGTCTAATTAGATTTCATTTTATTAAAAAACTCATAATAAGTAGATAAATAGATAATTTGTATATATTATAACAAATTTTAAACTAATAATATTTGTCTAATCTCTTTCCATATTTGAAGCTTTGAGCATGCGTGTATATATATGTATATATGTGTATATATTTTTGTATAAATTTTAATTTTGATTTTGATTTTGAAGATTGTGGGCCAAGATACTTGTTTATTCATGTGTTGTTGTTGTTGTGTTGTGGGTCCCACAAACTTGTTTGGGTGCCCCCGTGTCATCAAAGTCACAGATCTGTGACAGTTTGCATCAGTTGCAAAATTCGATCGATCTCGATATTTCTCAGATCGATCGAAAATGCATCGATCTCACTCAATCCAAATCAATTCCAGATCAATCTAACTTTCATCGATCTCACATTTTTGTGATCGATCGAACTTCACAGATTTGCATACACTTCACACACTATCTTTTGTGATTCCATGCTATCTCATACATGCCCAATGCCTATGTTTTCTACATTGGATGTATTCCGTACTTATATTGTCTAAGCATAAGTCACTTAATGTCATTTATTTCTCATCACTTGCATAGATTCATGTCCTTTCTTCTGTTTTGTCTATCTTATTTGACATACATGTTTCTATATGTTATGTCTTATTTCTTTATTCAGCTACTGACTTTTTCTGCAAGTTTTCCTTTTATTTTGCAGGCCATGGCTAGGGTCAAGACTATTGCCCGTGGACATTATCATCGCAGAGTCAGGCGGAGATTAAACGACCAGACAGGCCCATCTTATGTCCAGGACCCCATTCCTGAGCCAGAGCCAGAGTAGATACAGGACCAGTCAGAGGCAGATATAACTCAGTCCCCATTCGCTGACTCTAGACTACAGTTTTCGGCTACCGCATCATATTCTTCAGCTGAGGCTGAGCATGGATCATCTCCTTCACCACCACCAGTACAGCCAGACCTGGTCCCCGAGAGACCTGACAGGAAATACTCACACCTTCAGGTGGCGCATGAGTCGGTGTTCGACATTTCTTTCTTCTCCCGGTATCTACTGTGATATCCCTCGGATCCGAGACACGGGTTGATCAGGACCAGGCCCAAACCCGAGGGAATATCAAACAATCAATATGTAACCGAACACAGAATACAAAGTGAAATAAGAAGTAAAAATAATAAACTGAAGGAATGCTAATTTAAAATCCTCAAAATATAATTATTAAAATCCGATACTCTAAAACCCCATAAGTTTAACAACTCGGGAATCCATCCAGTGGACCCCTTATTAAAAATCCCAATAGAAACTAAAACATCAGAAATAGAATCTAAAGCTAACATAGAAAGGATTCCTACGTAGTCGGAGGAATGAATATCTGTATCTGCACTGCACGTCCAAGCTCTAACCCTGGAATTGACGAACACCTGAAAAATAAGAGAGTGGGTCAGTCCCACATGCAAGTCCTATTCTACTACAATCTATACAGTAATCCGATACTCAGATACATCCTAGATAGCCCAACAATATCTAGAGTAGTCCATATGTATATATAGTACACACTATAGGACGCTCGCTAGTCCAATAGGTCTGTCTCAGTCTGAGTAAAGATACCATGCAAATTGCACATAATGTGGTCATGTGTACCTAGATCTACCAGGGAACAACACCTATGTCCAGTTATCCATCCTTGGTGATATACGCACCCTAACCATGGTTCTGAGACTCAAGCTCATACCATGGCACCATATAATAAATATATAAAGTCCGTACTCCTCCTAATACAAAATACCATCCATCTGTGTAGTGGTCTGATATATGTATAATCATCCGTCCTGAAACCACATTAAGTCATTCAACTATTTTGTTGATATGACACAAGTAGGTGATGGACTTAACCTATATGGTTAATCCGTATCTTAATCCAAATTAGGTAGGACTTAGTGTTTGAACTAGTCCATACCTAGTATGTCATCGTC